TCAACATTGGTAAATTATGGAAAAATCCAATTATTCCTTCTTCCCACAAGAACAATGGAACAAAACAAGATTTTGAACAAACCATTTAAACAAATATTTCCTATTACTGATATTAAACACAATATCATTGGCATACCATTTATATCTAAATATATACCAACAATCAACATCTTAAATAGTAAGATCCATATCAAAGATTAAACAAACAACCACCATTTTTTTCAAAATTTTATCCTATTTACATTCAACAACGGAAACACCTGAAACCACTATCAGGAAATATATATAATTTCTCAATAAAACAAGTTCACCAGTATAATAAAAATCAAAACAAACAACAACTTTTCATGTCAGACTTCGAAATTAAAAACCTATCCACAAATTTTTCAAAATTACTATCTCATCCATAAAATACTCAAAAAATACGAATTCCGGCATCATTTCATGACACGTGTATAACAATACACAGTATCAAACAACATTACCTTTAGGACTTTTAGGATATTGTGAAACAAATGCTACAATTTCACCTATAAATGAAGTAGCCTACCGCGTTAATAATATACTCCAATTAGTAGATATTTGCCAATCAACAATTCTTGACGAAGAATTATCCATAAATAATATAATAAGTATTGAAAAAAGAAACACAGATTATTTCACAAAAACACCATATTTTAAATCAACATTCAATATAACAAATTACACAAAAGAGCAACAAAATTTTTTAACAATGTTTAATTTTGAACACTCACAAATCACACAAGGTGAATTTGATAAATTAGCAAAACAACTTAAAATATTCAACAGTCTATGCAACTTCAAAATTTGACGTTGGAAAAATTAGTTCATCACTACATCTTCCGTTAAAACCTGACGCAGTTTTCAAAAAACAAAGAGCAAGTAAAGTACCGATTCACTTACACGACAAGGTAAACAGATTACTTGATATTTTAGAACAATACGAGATTATCTCACCAGTAAATAAAGAGGAACAACCAAAAAGTAACACCTTCATTAACCCTGTTATCATTCTAGCAAAAGGTGAATCACTAAAAAAGTTTTAGATGCTAGATACCTCAATTCACTAATTGACGAATCAAAATGCAATTTGCCTTTTGAAACCATACAAGTTATCTTAACAAAGATAAATGGTAAATATTTCACAACCGCAGATATGAATAGTGCTTATAATCAAATGCCACTAGATGAACAATCACGACGCTTAACACAATTTGTTAATGGAAATCAACAATATGAATTTGACCGCTTATTCTATGGATTATCCATAGGACCAGCAGCTTTTTCAGCTTTTGTGAGTAAAATTTTTAGACCACTCAAGAAAAATGCAATCACATACTTAGATGATGTTTTCATGCAATCACAAACTAAAGAAGAAATGTTTACAGTTTTAGAACAGTATCATAAAATACTTCAGAACGAAAATCTGAAGGCAGCCTTTGTTAAATCACACTTCTTTCTAACACGCGTTAAACTTTTAGGACATAATATAGAACGAGAAACTATCACTCCATTAAAATCACGCATTGATGAAATTCAAAAACTTCAGCCACCTACAAATAAAAAGAAAATCCAAGAATTCCTTGGAATGTTGAATTTCTTAAGTAAATATGTTTACAAAATGCAATTATACTTAAGACCCTTTTATAACATCCTCAGACAACAAAATAATTTTGAATGGACCACTGAACATCAAACACGATTTGAAGAAATTAAAAAGCTTTTGACAGAACAAATTTCAAACACAATTCCAGATCCCAATCAACCATTCTATGCAATGTGTGATGCTTCAAATTTTGGCATCGGTGCAGCATTGCTACAATCACATAGTGGAACAAATAAAATGAATCTTATATCAGCAAATTCACGATTATTCACACAAGCAGAGCTACGACTCTCAACTCTAATGAGAGAATGTACAGCTATAATTTATACACTTACAGAATATGAATTTCTGATACTTGGATCAAAACACTCTACAGTTCTATTTACAGATCACAAACCAATTATATTTCTCTTTACACAAAAATCAAATCCAAATCATAGAGTTTATAGATTTCAACTAATTCTAATGAAATTTCCAAACTTACATATAGTTTGGACAGCAGGAAAAAAACCTTGCGTTACCAGATACATTAAGTCGAAATATGCCACCCGAATTACTTACACGGAAAACTACAGTTGAAATACCATAAAATATTAAATTTCATCTCGCAAAAGATGAAATATCACCCCGACTAGAATGCAAATATGCAGTAAAAACTGACATTGATCAATCACAAATAAATAATCTACAAGATTTTCCACTCTACTTAGGTTGCCAAAATAAATCACTACGAAGTTGATTTACTAGGCACATCTACTTTTAAACCAATTCCATACTCACAATGGATAAAAAATAACACCCAACAAAAGAGAATAAAACAACACTCGCATAAAAAAGACCTTTTTCCATTAATTAAAAAGGAAAATTTGACCGATAAAATAAATTTATCAGGACCACAAACAAATGATTCAAAATACACAATAAACCAAATTTTTGACCTCCATGACCCACTCGACACAATTCCCCTATCAAAACTAGAAATTGACAATATTTTTCTCCCCCCAACAGATAAAATTACACTTGAAATTTTAAAACAATATCAAAATCTCGACCCAGTAATTAGACAACTAAAATCATGGCACAAATACAAAACTAAGCCCGTAAAAGCAGATACCACAATTTTAGGAAATAAAACACTCCTCCGATATTTCCGAAAATTTAATAACACAACAATTAATGACAAAACAGATCTTTTAGAATATCAACTCTTTTAGAATATCAACAAATAAAACTCTTTGATGTTGTTTGTTTCTTTCGGAGTCGAATATTTTTGAAAACTTTCGTGTAACTCTTTTTCAGTCGGATTTAATTTCTTTGGTTAAAATGGTTTAAAAAAACATTTTTGAGCTGCGCCACCAAATGGGTTTTGAATTCATGCTGTACGCCTATGTATCCAGTTTTGATGAAGTGATGTGTTAATTGGTTCTGGACTTATACTTAGGTTTGCCGTGACTGCATTTAAGTAGTCTTCTTCTGAATTTTCAGGATCTGTTCCTGTTAATAGCATCAGTGGTTTATTAGATGTTATGGATGATCCACCCATAAGAAATGAATTCATCGTCGTTTGAAGTGATACTGCTGTGTTTGCTATTTGTGTAGAATTTGTTAGTTGAGTTTTTAAATTTCGTGTTGTATTAGGGTAACGCAATTTCATTTTACATTGGGTTAGGTTGACAAACTGGAGTATTTGTATGATTTTGTCTCGAATATTTTTACTTGGTTGTGCCAAGTTTTGCGTTGCGGAAAAAGCGGTTGTTGTTGTCGTGTTTGATCTGAATTCATGTAAGGTTCAAAAATATCTGGTCGATAAATATCATCTGGTTGGTCATATTTATACCAATTATTTTTTCGTTGGTTATTATTGTAGTGTTGTTGGTGTTAGTCAAAAAAATCTTAATCTTCAGAATACTGTGGTTGACTTCTTGTAAATTGTCTGTTTGTTGTTTTTTCATTCTGTTGAAAAAGTGGATGATTTTCAGTACGATCCGATGAGTTTTTTTCGTTTTTCACTAAAATATAATGATTGAGATACTGATTTTCGTATCTGTTGGGTGTAGTCGTGTTCTTAAGTTTAGTTTTGTGTTCTATAATGAGGTTTTTGCTTTTTGTTTGCTAAAATTATTAATTGCGAAAAAATCATAGTTTTGGTTTGCAAAATTATTCCTGTTTGGTTGTTTTTATTTGTTGTTTTGTCTTGTTTTACCCATTGGTCAACACTACAATCAAAATTCAAACCATCCGCTGTTCCAAAATAATCCCACATGGATTATCAAACATAGTGTTGTTTGTGGAAAGGGGGTATTTTTTAATGTGGTGTTGTGAGTGTTGGATGAATAGGAGAGATACTAAGAACAAATGACCTGTTCATGGCGTGCATATTGTGACTATACAAGAAACAATTGTAGAAACATTATCAGAAACTGAACAAATTCCGAAAGATGTTCGAGGGGGAAACCCCTTGTGGAAAAACCACTAAATTCTTATTAATTATAAAATAATAATCGCTTGAAAGCTCCTTGCTTGTATTTCCGTTTTGTGGATTTATATTTTGTCAAGATTGTGGGAAAAAAAACAGTTAGTCTGTAATGTGAACACCAATAAATTTTACTGAAGTCATCATTTTGTAAGTCTCTGTTCCGACCACTCGATTCTTCAAAAAAAATCAAACTAAAGTTCTCTGTGTCGAGAAAAACGACTGAATTTTTTTAGACTAAGTTAGACGAATTTTGATTAGAGACTGCCCTACCAATGCTAATGTTAGTTCAGAGTCGATGAACGCAGTGAACAGTCTTATATATGTAGTGATGCTTGTTTTTTTCTTCAGAAAAAGTTTGTTCGCGCTCAATGTAATTTTTGCTGTTTTTTTTTTCAAGCTTAGTTCATTTCCTTTGCTAAAAGGAAGGCAAACTCCGCTATCGAACAGCAAAAGAGTAAAGGTCAACAAAAACTTGATCGACTTCTAGTTTCGAGCATGGATGTTAAACTTCAGATTTTTCAGCAAAAGCAAAAATATGTAGTTTTCCATTTTTCAAATTGGTTAATTGTTTTCAAAAGTGTCAATCACAAGTTGTTTTCGAAATTCGAAGAGGCTTAGGGTCATAGTTTTTCGTAATTTTTTATCTTTGCTTCAACTTCTTTTCTCTTTCTTTCGTGGTCGGAACATTATCTACTCATGCACAGCAACCGTTCACCATGGTTACGTTACTATTTGATAAATAGGTATGGATTTTGCTATTTTTTCAGCATCCGTCATATGCACGTACTTGTTTCGATAATCGCTTGAAAACTGCTTGCGTGCATTTCCGTTTGGTGTGCTCTTACTAATACGATTATAACTCGTATTATTTCTTAGCTTTAGCGAACATATATTTAGGACAGAGGAGGTGCATCTAAGAAGAAGTCCACGAAAGATTCCAGGAGTCATAGCAGCCAAGCTGTGCCTCCTCATGTCCAAGGTGCCATCAATTATGAGCAAAATAGGGTGCTGGCTCCTGACTTCTCGAGGTGTTTTGAGCGCATGCGAGATGCCACCATGAGATTACTACCTTATCATGTTCTGCAGGATTTAGCTTTCAACGAGGTGTTCCTAGAAAAAGGTTAGTAATGATAATATGAAGAATCTATGAGTCAAATTTGCCAACCAAAATAGTATAGTGATACAAAAAGTTGTCGTAAGTTTTTATTGTCTCAGAACGGGTTCAAATAGGTATTTCCCTGTAGAACTATGCTTACTTTGTTTGCAAAATGTAGATTATTGATCAACTGTGTGATATTGGAAAATAAGTGATAATTCAAGAATGTATTCTTTGTAGCTTATATTAATTGTTTTCTCTCTATTTTTATAGTCACTGAGAGTGATACAGCAGATTCAAACTCTGAGCTCTCAGCTGTGTACCAATGTCTCTGAACGCGTGACCTTGGACACATCATAATAATAATAATTGATACCACCGAAGATTATTATTACATCATGAAATTACTGCTATTGCAGTAGCAGTATGACAAACTGAAATAGTGCTTTTTTCAGTCATTTTTCTTCGGTTTTCTTCATTTCATGTTCTTTTTTTCCATCATTCTCTTGGCTATTTTTTTAAACACAAGCTAACTTAGTTATAAAAGACGAATCCTTTTTTCCTTACCCAGCTCACAGATAAAAGTGCTCTTATAGTGGCACTTCTGCTGCAATTACACTGACATCTGTTCTATCTGCTTAAATGGTGACTAGTCAGAAGCAGCCCTGGAGCAGATGTGAGGACGTGAGACTCTTACGGTTGCGGTTCGGTTACGGCTTTTAGCAAAAGTGATGTTTAACAAAAGCGCGTATTTTTACCTGTTTTTGTTGTATCTGCGGAGTGCGGATTTTTTTTTTCAGGAAAAGTTTGTTCAGACGTGACTCAAATTTAATGTTTCGTGGTTTGATTTTTCTGGTCAAGTTCACTTCGTTTTTCTTGTTAAAAAGGAAGGCAAACTCAACTGTCGAACAGATAAATTGTAAAGGTCACGAAAAACGTGATTGACTTCGAAAGTAGAAATTAGTTTTCAGATTTCTCAGCGGAATAAAAAATTACCTATCAATCCAATTTTCTCAAATTATTTGTTTTATCAAAAAATTGTCAAACATAAATTGTTCTTGAAATTCAAGGGGGCCTTAAGGCCAGGTATTTTAGTTTCTTTGAAAAAACCGAAAGTTGAATTTTTTCAAAAAACTATTCGGTGTTTTTTAGTGTTTCCTTGCGTTAATCCATTCTTTTCCAATTGTCTGTCTGTTGGCTATGTTTATGTTTTGCTTATAGAGGACGTTGAGTTTGAGAAGCACTGTGCTAGCTTGTTGGTCAAGGCGGACAATCTCTTTCTCAGGTTCAAATGCGCCATGCTGAAGGACTGTATGGTAAGAACGTGTTTTTAATTTATGATTATTGGAATTATTGATTCTATACCGCGGTAATTTTTTAGTCAAAAGCATAGTTTTCCGATATTAGAAACTGCATACGCTGTGGCGCTATAATTTTGGCTGAAAATTGGCTTTTTTGTTTTTTTTGGGTGCATCGGAATTTAGAAATGGTCTTATTTTGCTTTGCGAAAGTCATAGATGCGCCTCTGCAAGTTCGTCTATTAAATTTCAACTTTAAGCCAAGGAGTTTTTTAAATTTATTTAAAGCCAGAAGAAAGGTAAATCAATCACTTTCTGAACAAGAAAGAACCAACTGCGCAAAACTGATGTGAGCTTTGGATCTAAGTACAGAGACTTACAAAGTAAACTTTATTAACGCACACTTATAATTTTTTGTGAATCCTTTTGCTGGATGCAACGCGTGGCAGGTGACTATTGGATCTACTTACCGAGAGAAAGATTCGTGCAAGTGGTGTATTTGGTGCCGCTATAGCAACTGACTAGTACACAACGGTAATTCTTTGAAAAAAAAAGATCAATTGTGCTTAAAGTGGTTTTTCTCTCATAAACGTCGACTCCCTTATTTTTTATTTTTGGCGGAGTTTTTTTAACTGTCGATGAGCTTAGTTCAGACTCTTACGCAGGTCGTGATGATTTTTTTCAGGAAAAATCATAACTTTTTTTCAGGCTCAAATTTAATTTTTCGCGGCTTGAATTTGATTCAGTTAATTTCCTTTGTTAAAAGCTTCCTCTGATTTCCTTTGTTAAGGCAAACTCCACTAACGAACAGCAAAAGCGTAAAAGTCTCAAAAAAATATGAGAGCTCTTTTGATCCAATCTTCTCAAAAATTACCTTGTGATCCAGTTTTCTCAAATTGATTTTCTCAGAAGGTTTCAACCATGTTCTGTTCTTGAAGTTCGTTGAGCTTCAAGGGTATATATTTTTTCTAAATTCGAAAACTGAAATTTTTCAAAATTGAAGTCTTTATTTTTTGAATTCGGTGTGTTCATAGACTTTTTGCCAGCTGTCTATTTTCCAACTGGCCACCAGCGGTTTTCAGGAGGGAGTGGGCGCGGACCCCACTTCTCAGGGATTCGGCCCCTGCCGACCCAAAAGGTCCCGCCTTTGCACTATTTTGTGATATCCATTTTTGGCTGACTGACCCTTAAGTTTTTCTAGAAGCGCCTTCGTCGTCAAAGTATACTAATTTTGTGGGGGGAGCGCGCGCCAAAAAACGCTATTTTTTGGTCATTTTTTTTCAAAAAGTGCCAGAACGCCTTTTTTGGCTTGTTTTTTTTCTAAAATTTGCCGGCAGGACAGAAAATTTGGTAAAAATGGGGTCTTTATAGTGATTTGGGAGAGCTCAGAAAATCAGTTTGGTCGACCTAAAAAAGGGTCGACAAAATTTTCGATTTTTTTTAAAACAGCACCCCTCGTGAAAATCCTAGATCAGCCCTTGCAACTGGCTATGTTTTAAAGATATCGAAGTTATAATTCATTGAATTTGGGACGAAATCGACGACTATAATTTCAAATAGTTCAAATAAACAAGTGATTTTGCTCTGATTAGAACGTTATCGTAGCGTTGTGCGGGGAGAACAATTTAAGAAAAAAGAACATGTTTTGATTATTTTTTTACATTTTTTCTAATCGAAAAATTTTATCATCGAAGTTAAAAGGCTGTCCATCAAGGGTTTCGCCCTGATACGAAAAGTTTTGTTATTTATTTAAATCAAAAATACAGTTGATAATTATTTTCATGTATCCAATGTTTTAGAGAGACGCTCCTAATAGTGACTACGCCTTGTTGGAAAGACTACAGCACCAATGTGCCATAGACAAATTAGACGAAGCCAAAAAAGAATGCACAAACTTGAAGGCTTTAAAAAAGCAACTGTGTTCTAAAAATATTTATCAAAGCACCACTAGTCAGCCCCTTTCTATCTCAAATACAGACGTGAGCTCTGAACAAATCTGCCAACCTGTGATGACATTTCAAAATGGTTTTCCAGAAAGTCAAAAAGTAGCCCAGAGTGCCAGATACTGTCCAATAAATGCTACAAATTCAGGTGCGAGTCCTCAAATTTCACCCAAGTACCAAATAGATGAAAGATTTAGCGAGAATACTTTGGGTGACTATCCTGTTACAATAAATTCAACTGACCGAATCATTTCATCAGAAGTAGATGACAAATTGAAGAATGAATCAATGTCGCAATCAATAACATCACACAGTGATGTAGTTAAAGATATTTCTATTTGTGGTCTTGAAAACAGTCAAATGAGTTCAGACACTAAACCAATGCAGTTTGACAGTAACTTTGCTGCAAATTTTATCCCAAACGGTACACACGAAGTTCAGAACGGACAGTATCATCAGTATGTTTTTACGGAACCAGATATTCCGATTACTCCACTCACCAACGAGGAATGCTTTTTCAAGTGCAGCAGCAAATCAACAGACTCGGGCTGCTTCAGTCAATCAGAGTGCGACCAGGCAGTCAACAGCATTCTTTGATACATAACAAGGTTCAAACTGGAAATTTTTCTTTTTAAGCTTCTTGTTCAGTATAATTATTTAGTTGCGGTCTATTTTTGTACATAATTTTTTGATAATTTGTCTGATTGCTGAAAACATTGATGAGCTGAAAACAGTTGCGTAGCAGGTTTAATTTCTTTCTTTGAGCAAACTTATAATAAAAATGTAAGTTTCAGTCTTCTAACTACTGTTGCAATGAGGTTAGTCGTACGCAATTGGAGCTATCTTTGCTTTTGTCAGATATGAACAATATAGCTCAAGTAGTTGTTTTAAGCAATTTTCACTGATTAGGGAACTGGAGTATATGGGAGCCTTGTTTTTTTCTTGACATTACTCTAAATGTTACTGTAATTTGTATTCGCAAGCTGTACTTTCATGTAATTGAACTTGTCAAAATCCTATTTGAGTTTCCGCAATAATTTTTAGTAGGGTCATATGAATTATTTTGATAGACCAAATAAATATATATGTCGAAATAGACTTTTAAGACGCTCTTTTTCCAAATATCGCTACGTCGGAGGAAAGTATTTGAAAGCTTTTGGCTAATGTAAATTACATTCAAATCATTTGATGTGCAATTAGCATCGAATGTTCCAAACATTTTTTTTGCAAACAAATCTGCATAATTTTAAAATCAGTAGTGCTGTAAGGGGGGATGGTCAAGAGTACCTAAAGCTAACAAAGTGTTACTTAAAGCAGACAAAGAAAATTTTTGGAAAGTGGCAGGGCGGAGGGGTTCCAACAACTAATTGCAAACAATGCAAAAAAAGTTGTAAAATCAGAAGCGTGGCAAGGGTGTGTGACCTGCCCACCCCTGGATACTGATAGCAAAATTGGTCCAATCCTTAGGCAACAATAAAAACTCTTTGTGTTTTGAGCTTCAACATAACGATGACAAACTGTATTTTAGGAGCTCTAAGCGGATTTCGCTACCTTTGTTCTTTTGTTCTTTCGTTTCCTTTGATTGTACCGACGAAATTTGAAGACTTGTATGGAGTCCGGGGTTCCCAAGCTTATCACCTCGTGTTTTAACCCCCTTTTTCTTAATCCTCCCTCATATAACCCCGAAATTAGATATCCCCACTACAGTTTAACCCCTTTTTAATAGCAATTGTTAGAATCCAAGTGAAACTGACTTGAAAGGGATTCGGAACCATATCGTCGGTAAACATCAAAGTTTAAATTGCGAAAATTTTAGGAACCAAAATGAATTAACATGCGTGCTGCCAAATGCGTTTTAGATTTGAACAGAAATGACCATGCCGATAGTCTAGACTTTAATATGAACTTGAAAATCAATCCGACCGACATGATTTAAATTAGTTACCAAAACTGATTAGGTTTTTCGAAAACTGAACATGATCTTGAAACAATTCCTGCCTATAAAAGATTAATTGGCTGAATTTAAAAGAAATATGGAATGAGAACTGGTTGTGACCAAAAAATTGATCTAATGCTACTATGAGTGCAAAAGGACTATAAAAAAGGAGTTGATTTGAAACAAATTCTCGTAATAAAAGGGGGTTTAGTTGTTGTGGGGTTATCTTGTTACGGGGTTATAAAGTAGGGGGTGTAAAAATAGGGGGTTGAGTATCGTAGATTAAAGAGTGGGACACCGAATTCCGGAGATCTACAAACATCAAATTGTGTGCATATTCAATGCACAGTTTGGCCTCGTAATGAATGAACGAAGCAGACTTTTTCGTTATACTCCTCTTATGCAGTTGTTTTTGTCACATCGTACGATTGTTACAAAACTTGGTATGCGAACAAAATAGGCTATGACGAACATATTTTGTCTTCATAATTGAACTCTTAAAACCTCGTCACGGCATAAAATTGATGAGGAAAGATCCGCGAAGTGACATGTTTTTTTAGCTTTCAAAGGTTTTAAATGTTTCACGCTCAATTCAACTAGCCTTATATTTTAAATTGAAAGGCGCTCGCTCATTTTTTCACTCAAGGGACCTGGAAAATTATGTTTTGTTTTTGTGGATTTAAATATAATACCAAAATCTGATCGTAAAAATTTAATTTTGCGATTCTTTTATCTCGAGTTTCATTGTATTGTTTTTCGATTTTATACAGATCGTGATGCCAATCAAATCAATTTCTATTACACGTCTGGACAAACGCATTTTTTTTCAATTATGCAGAGATTCATGCATTTTTCATCTCTATGCTTGTTTTTTTTCAATTGCCGGGAAAAAACATTACAAATAAAAAAACCGAGAAAAAAGGAATAAAACGAGAAACACTGCACAATTTAAAAAAAAACGACTGTCCGAATGTTAATGAGAAATCTATCCGATTTGCTTCACAACATACAATATTGATAAAAAGGTGAATTGAGATGAAAGAAACGCAAAAACCAGAGTTAATTGTCGTATTCGTTTCTTAGAAAGTTTGACACAGAATTGCAAGCCTTTTTTTAAAACAAAAATCATGTCGGGTTGCTGTTTTTTTGAGAGAAAAATCGAAATTTTTTAAAGAGTATAATCAAAATAATAAGAAATGTGTCAATCAAAAACTTTATAGCGGCTCAAAAACTTAATAGCTTAAATTTTTATGACAACAATTTTCTTTTTGGCTTAAAAATTTGGGCCCATTGAGGTAGCCAGAGTTGTTTTTAGGACAAGATGATAATTATTTATGTCTTAAATTGTCTCATAGTTGTTAACAGAAGTCAAAAATTTTAATATAGAGTTTGAACAATCCTGACGTTTTTGAATGATTTTACCGCATGTTGCGAGAGTTAACGTGAGACAAATTCATGCCATGAATATCCTCGGAGAGAGGGAGGTCTTGTGTAGGACCAAAGAGGAAGTGGTTGAGCCCAGTTAACTTGTTGTAGTACAATTAAAGTGGTCTCGAATCTGTTTTTTTTTGAAGATATCATGTTTCACCGCTGGTCTCGTTGAAGTACCTAGGGCTTTTTCAGTGTAAACGAGCGCTCGATGCCACCCGAGCCGGTAAAAACCTCTAGCATTAGACACAGCGGCCAGATGCCTCGTAATGTAAAGTCCTCAACTATCCACACAAGGTCATCTTTTTGGAGTGGTTCCTCGAGTTGCGTCCAGTCGGAACCTTTGATGAGAGTCGGAGTGTACACTTCAAGTTGATCAGAACCGATAAGTAGTAAGAACGCTCATGTTATCATTCAGACGAGACGCTCTCATACTCCGCCAAAGTGGGGAGCTGACGAAGAGTTTAGGCGGCATTCGTATAAGAATTTCACCAACTCTGTTTGCGCAGTAAATTTTCTGTTTACCGGGTGAAGCAGTTCAAGACAAAAGAAATGTGCTATCTGTCCAAAGACGAGTGGAGTGGGCCTTCATTCGAATGTCTTTAAATTCAATTCTCCGTGTAGGGCTTTCTGATGGGTTAAGTTTACCGGGGAAGTGTTAACATTGTTAGGCTTTGCGTTAAGTAAATGATTTGACAACTCTGGTTGCGCAGTAAGTTTTCAGTTGATCAGGCGATGCACTCCAGATGGTGCTATCTGTCCAAAAAAGAGTGTAGTGGGTTTCCATTCGCATTTCATCAGCTGTGAACTTGCACAGTCGTGCGCCAGTAAAGACGGCCTGTAATTGCAGTTTTGGAATGCCTACTTAGTTCAGTGGTACTACCTTTGTACAGTAAATCAAGAAAGTAGCGTGTGTGGCAGAGTTGCCTGCAGTTTCGAAGTAGAAGCGTCGCGGTAATGATCAAGCTGTATATCATTAAGTGACAGTTGTCCTACTAAGCGCGGCAGCCTCACCATTGGTCAATCATCGGAACCTAGTTATTTTGCAGGTCAACATTAAGCGATTCCTCATTAAGTTGCGCTTTGCAGTTGCGCTTTAGCTACTGGATAGTTGTACTGCATGTTCACTTCGCTTTTCCAGAGTAGATTTACTTTGTAGCAGTCTTCGTCGTGCTCAATGCTTTGTTCCATAAATCTTAGCTGTCTTTTGCTCTTTTCAGAAAAGGTAGCTTTTTTTTCTTCGTAGATGCCTGTTTTTCCCACTTTCCAGAATTTTTCCACTGTTTCAGTGAAAATAGCGTCTTCTTGGTGGTTTAAGTCATTGAGTTTTGTTGAATGTGAATTCGATCCCGAACTATTAGTCTTCTGGTTGAATGGGCCAGTGATCTTCCAGCCTAGTAGATTTTTGACAGTGTGGGGGATGCCAGTAGGAGCTTTTCTGATATCGCGCTCCTCAACATTCCAATACGCATCTACGTCAAGCTTAATTTGCACTATGTTGTCGCCTAAATCAGGAAAATTGACGCATCGAAGATGATATTAGAGTGAGCCCCTTCTGTTATCGTTGTTTGCATCGATAGCGTCAAAACTCAGAGCTGACTGTAGAGTGAAAGTAGGCTAAGTAGCGCTATGTGGTCCAATACTTAGCTGGACCAGGTAAGGCACTTTGCCTTTACTGAAAGCGCCTCGTACGCTAAGCTGTAGTTGTTGGCTTGGTGTACACTAAAGTGCTTCAGCTGCTTTGCTGAGGATGTATGAGCAGCTGCTGCAGTTTGCGAGTGTTGTGTAGCAATCCTCTTTGATACCATTGTTGAAAAGTGTTACCGGCATCAAATGTAACTGATTTTTGTTGTTACTTATATTTTCGATTGAATCATTAGCTTGTTTTGTTGACTTGGTTACTGTAGTGCCAAACTGCATGTTAAGTGGTTTTTGGTTGTGTGTTTGAAACGGCTTCTTGTCGATATGTGGAGTTGAATGTTGTTTCCCACCGCAGTTGTAGCTTTTTTACTAAATCTGTGTTGGCCTAAGCAGTTGAAGCTAAGGTTATGTTTTTCACCACCTCTGATCGTTTATCTAGGGGAAGTTTCAAAAAGTCCGATAGGATTCTTTCCAATATTGTGGGCTAGGTGGTCTACTGGACTCGTTAGAGTTGTTAGTCTAGTCGTTATACCTGAAGATCTGTTGTAGTTTTTTGTGGACATAAAAGTAAATTGTTCGGGTCGTCTGTTGGATTGTTGCTTCGTTGGTTGGCGGTTTCTTCCCGCTTTGTTTGTTGCCGATGGCTCTATTTCTAGGTTCTCGCATGCTTGCGATTAGTTTTTCATGTAGTGTGTCAAGTCTTTTTAGTCTAGTGTAATCGATGTCATCAGTAGATATATGTTCGGTAACTTGATTCCTTTGTAATTTAAGTTGGTGCCAGTAGTCAGATGGTTGGTTTGTGGTTGCTGACTTGTCTTTGATCAATGCCGAAAAGACTGTTGCGTTGTTGGTCGCCCTATTGCGAGTTGGTCCTGTCCTATGGTGGTCGTTGAAGTGGTTGGCAGTGAATTGTTCAGATTTAGTAACAGGACTTGTTGAAGTTGTTAGCAGGCCATATCGGTGATTGCCAATTGATATCTGGACTTCGTGTGTTCGGTTGTCGTTCCGAATACG